GGCTGAGGCGGAAGGATCGCCAGAGCCCAGCAGGTTGAGGCTGCCGTGGCTGGGAGCGGCTACTGCACTCCAGTCTGGGTGACAGAGTGAAACTCCAACTAAACTAAACTGAACTGAACTGAACTAAACTAAACTAAACTGAAATTCTCATTAGAAACAATGATACTGGCTGGGTGCAGTGGCTCACACCTATAATCAATCACCTATAATCCCAGCCTTTTGGGAGGCCAAGGGGGAGGATTGCTTGATCCTAGGAGTTTAAGACCATGCTGGGCAACATAGTGAGACCTCATGTCTTTAAAAAAAGTCAAAATTTAGACGGGCATAGTGACATGTGCCTATAATCCCAGATACTGGACTGAGGCAGAAGAATTACCTGAGCCCAGGTAATCAAGACTGCAGTGACCTGTGATTGTGCCTCTGTACCCCAGCCTGGGCGACAGTGAGTTCCCAACCCAATGGATTTTTTATTTTTTAAAGAAATAGTGGGCCAGAAGTGGTGGCTTAAGCCTGTAATCCCCCCACTTTGGGAGGCCAAGGTGAGAGGATAGCCTGAGCCCAGGTTTGAGAACAGCCTGGGCAACTTGGTGAGACCTCATCTCTACAACAAAAAAAATCATAAAATTAGTCGAGCATGGTAACGCACACCTGTAGTTCCGGCTACTTGGAAGGCTGAGGCTGAAGGATCACCTGAGCCCAGCAGATCGCTGCTAGAGTAGCCATGAGAGTTCCCTTACTCTCTAGCGTGGGCTACAGAGTGAGACTCCAACTCAAAAAACAAAACAAAACAACAGTGATACCAGGCATGGTGGCTCATACCTATAATTCCAGTACTTTGGGAGGCTGAGGTAGGAAGGAGGATCACTTAAGGCCAGGAGTTCAAGATCAGCTTGAACAACACAGCAAGACCCCACCTCTACAAAAAACAAAAAAAATTAGCCAGGCATGGTGATGCATACCTGTAGTCTTGGTTACTTGGGAAGCTGAGACAGAAGGATTGCTTTAGCCCAGGAGGTCAAGAATACAGTGAGCTATGATCCTGCCACTGTACCCAGCCTGGGAGGCAAAAAAAAAGAAACTGGAAAACAGCAGACTATCGATATCAGAAACAACTTTTTAGCAAAAGCAGTGTGATTGGTGGTTATATATTTTAATTTTGTTTAGCAAAGGGGCAAATCTTCTACTGTTTATTATTAAATAGTTACACTCACATGAGGATTTGCCACCATAAATAGCTTGTATTTATGAGAAGCGTTGTATTACTTCCCACAGAAACTCCCTCCTCCAACTGTGTTCAGCTCCTGGGCACACTTGTGCCTTCTTAGGAAAGATCCCTTCAATCCCCTGGTTTTTCTTTTATAGTAGTGGATATCATTATCACCATCCACTTGGTGACACTGGGGGATGAGAGTGATAGGGACATTTTAACTATCGTATTTTATTCAGAAGCAGCCCTACTGTTACCCAGATCAGTGCCACAAGAATTCCGTTTGCAAGGGGATGCAGATGCACACACAGCCTCATGCCTGTTGGCGTTTATCCTGGGCATGCCTGACCGCATCAAAGGACCCCAAGTTGTCCCTTGTTTTAAAAAAAAAAAGAACAACTCCAACATCTGAAATAAAGCCATAGCTATGTTTAAAGCAACTTCCTAAGATGAGGAATATAATTAATTATAATCTGTGAAATATTTTGTGGATTAAAAGAATAAACCCATCCCTTAAAATGCACACTGACCTGTTCTCCCTGGAATCCTATTGCTTCTGCGAAGTTAAGCAGCGCAGGCTGGAGGCGTCTCACCTGACAGCAGAAGCCTTAGGGTGGGTAGTCCTGCCCTTCCTTGTGCCAGCGATGCACTGTCTCCAAAAGGGCTTCCATTCCTCACTTGTGCTTATTCACAGAGCATTTCTTCTTGCATGTATGATAACTTGGAACCCAATCCAAGGGGACAAAAATTATGCTTCATAGGAAATTGATCTTTGACCATAACAAGGCATATGAGAGTGTGTCATTGTCTAATGGGGTAGATGGAGTGTAGGAGAAGCTGGTTCTCGTGATGTATGTGTAAACCACAGAATCTACTTCATCAGCTCCCACCCCCTTTTTATTGTGAGTAGGAGTCTCACTGTATTGCCCAGGCTGGAGTGCAGTGGCACGATCACGGCTCACCACAGCCTCAACCTCCTGGACCCAGGCGAGACTTCAACTTTAGCCTCCTGAGTAGCTGGGACTACAGTTGTATGCCACCAAGCCAGGCTAATCTTTTGATTTTTGTGTAGAGATGAGATCTCGCTGTGTTGCCCAGGCTGGTCTCAAACTCCTGGGCTCAAGCAGTCCTCTTGCCTGGGCCTCCCAAAGTGCTGGGATTACAGGCATGAGCCACCACGCCCAGCCCATCAGCCCTTTAAAGGAATTTCTTCATGAACTCTAGGCATTATTAGAAAATTTCAGTACATATTATATAATAATAATAGTAAAGCATCATCTTGAAATTATTCAAGAAAAATTGATAAAGAGATACAGGTTTAAACTAAGGAAAGTGAGGGCATTAAACTAAGAATTGTGGGTTGGGAAGGATACACCTCATCAACAAGGGTACCTGTGTAGTGAACATTTGTATACCTAACTCCGAATTGTACCCCACATCTATAAAATTTAAATTTTTTTTAAAAAGTATGGGTTGACGTAATACAGTGTGCTCAGATTGATATGGAAGGAAAGGTCAGTTTCAGTAAATATTCTAGGTGTGGATGTGTCTCAGCTATTACATAATCTTTCCAGGTAACTAATGTTTACCCCATTAATGACAAAATCATTTTTAGAAAACTCAGATTTTCTTAACATATGTTGAATATAAGCTATTGGAATAGCTAAGAAATGATTGTACCATTACTTTATTTTTTATTTTTTAAAACAAATTTATTGACATAGTTTACATATAACAAAATGTTCTCATCTTATGTATGCAATTTTTAGTAAAATTGCTGAGTTGTGCAGCTGTGACTGTAACCCAGTTTTAGACCATCTTATCATCCCAGTAGGATCCCTCATGCCCTCCCCTGGCTGTCACTCACCGACTTCTTCTACCCTATTATTTATTTTTTTAATTCTATTTTAAATTAAATTGTATTTTTTTGAGTCAGAGTCTTACTTTGTCATCCAGACTGGAGTGCAGTGGCATGATCTGGCTCACCACAGCCTCGAACTCCTGAGTTCTGGTGATCCTCCTGCCTCAGCCTCCTGAGTTGCTGGGACCATAGGCATGCACCACCATATCTAGCTAAATTTTTTTTATTTATTGTAGACATGAGGTCTTGCCAAGTTGCTCAGGCTGGTCTCGAACCCCTGGAATCAGGCAGTCCTCTTGCCTCAACCTCCCAAAATGCTGGGATTATAGGTGTGAGCCACCACTTGTAATAATAATAATAATACTGTATTATTTTTAAATGGTGAAATGCAGACTCTGAGTTTGCTGCTTTCCTTGCTTAACTAATCCAGGCTCCCACTGGCCTTAACACACTGTGTGGTGTGTTTTCCTGCCGTGTCTCTATGCCTTTGAGACCATCTTGTCCCTTTCCTGGAAAGCCACCCCACCCCATCTTGTCAAGGCTTGTCACATGCTGTTGCCTCGTCTGTGCACTGCCAATGGCTTTGACCTTACACACACACCCTCCAGTGGGTACCCCGGTCAATTGCACATTAGTCTAACCCGCTTACTAGACTGTAAACTCACTGTAGTCAGGAGCACTCAGCTCAGAGTCTGGTCAAAATTCTTCACTTTACAGGTGGGTAAACTAAGGCCCAGGCTAGTTAGAGTCGGGGCTCTGACTTTTACTTACTTTTCCTATTTTGGAAGGAAGTTTCTGTTTTTGCCCATGAAGAAGGGAGAAGCAGCAGCTCTCCAGCTAAGAAGTAGCTTAGGTTTAATCCTGAAAGAAGCTTATCTTCCTTCCTAAAACTACAAGACCATGAGCACTTACCTTCAGGCTGATTCATCTAATACCCATGCCAATTAAAAACTGGTGTTGCCGAGCTCGGTGGCTCAGCCCATAATCCCGCGCCTTTGGGAGGCTGAGGTGAGTGGATTGCCTCAGCCTGCGGGTTCGAGACCCACCTGGGCAACTTGGGGAGACCTCATCTCTACAATAAATCAAAAATTAGCCGGACGTGGTAGTGCACGCCTGTAATTCCAGCTACTCGGAAGGCTGAGGCGGAAGGATCGCTGGAGCCCAGCAGGTTGAGGCTGCGGTGACCAGAAGCGGCCACTGCACTCAAGTCTGGGTGACAGAGTGAGACTCCAACTCAAAAAAAACCCAAACTGGTGTTGATACCATCATGTCATATACTTGAAAGTATTTTTCTGGCTAGGCACGGTGGCTCACACCTGTAATGTCAGCACTTTGGAAGGCTGAGGAGAGAGGCTTGCTTGAGCACAGGGGTTTGAGGCAGCTATAAGCTGTGATCATGCCACTCCATCCTGGATGACAAAGTGAGACCCTGTCTCAAAACAAGAAAATGTTTTTCTTTTTTTTTTATCACTAAGTATTATTGACTCTAAATCCATCCAAGTTGTTGTGTTTTTCTTTTTTAATAGTGGTAGTTCATTTATTCAGCCAGTATCTGTTGAGTTTCTACCACACGCTAATCACATAGCAACATTATTTCAGTAACATCATAGGGAAGGCCACTACTATACTTTATAATATGTATCTTCATTAATATTTACTTAGAGTCAGGGGGTGTAGTCATTCCTTTTTATAAATGAGCATGTAATTAATTTTAAAAAGCATAACAGTCTAAAATTTCCTAATTTCCTCTGAACTCTAGGTCAGTAATAAAGCTCACTTAATACTCAAAGCCAACATGAGTTACTGTGGTCCTGTTCCCTGGAAACAACACTTATAGCACAAGCATTCGGCCACTGATGCCAGCAGGGCTGCTCAGCGGGTGAGGCTCACCGTCTTTCTGATCAGCCAGTCCTGTCCCTGCTGTGTGGCCGCCCCACAGGACAGTGGGTGAATTCTCAAGCCACCTCCCTACTGATGTCCAGAATTTACTGTGTTCCTAGGTAGTGAAAGAAATGACATATTAAATACGAGAGAATTTAGAGTAATAATTTTTTTACTTGTGTAGAATTAGAATATATATGAAAGAAGATAGTTTACCAAAGGACATATTTTTTTCTCTCTTTTGGGGGGGGGATGGGGTGTGAGTCACAGTCTCACTCTGTTGCCCAGGCTGTACTGCAGTAGCATGATCACAGCTCACTGCAGCCTCAGCGTCCCAAGTAGCTGGGACTATAAGTGTGTGCTGCCACACCTGGCTACTTTATTTTTCATAGAGATAAGGTCTCACCATGTTGTATAGGCTGGTCTCAAACTCCTAGGCTCAAGCGATTCTCCCTCCTTGCCTCCCAGAGTGCTGGGATTACAGGTATGAGCCACTGCAGCCCACCCCAGTGGACACATTTCTAAGTAAACATCTAAATCCTGTTACTTAAGAGGAAAAACTAAAAACAACTTCTCAATGTTTCTACATGACAATAGGTGATATATTTTCATTTCAAAACATTTTAAGCCTGGGACCATTTAAAATAATTAGTTCAAAAACTAAGAATTAGACTGTGTGAATGAAGACTACTTAATAAACAGACCTGGATGCTGATGGTCATTTATTGTGTTATAAATTCTTTTTTTATAATTTTTTTAAGTCCACTGAAAATATGCTTGTTTTGCAGGATACAAGTTCAGTATTAAGGGAGGAACATGTTACAGCCTTTGAAGATGAAGGGTCATATTTAATTCAAGAACAGCAGGATTCTCTTGTGTGTCAAGGAATTCTTGATTTAGAAGAAACGGAAATGCCGGAGCCTCTGGCTCTTGAAAGCTACCCCGAGTCCATCTGCGAGGAGGACGTGACCCTGGCCTTGAAAGAACTGGATGAAAGGTGTGAGGAGGAAGAGGCGGATTTCTCTGGCCTGTCCAGGTGAGAATAGGGCGTCATAGGCACAGTGGTGAGGTGATGTTCTTTCCCCATCCTGTCCCCAAAGCGTCCCTCATTCCACATTACTTACTCTGTGTGTTGTAGTCTACAATCATACCCTCTTGCTTCATTTTTAAAGGTAAAATGACTTACTGTGATGGGTTTTTTCCTGTTGTTGACATCTGCTTAAAGAAAAATAATGAGGGTGTTCTCAGAGCACAGTAAGTGGCATTCTACACTGAGAAGCACACCAGACACCTACTTTGGCAGATACCACATAGCCAGGTGTTAAAATCAGTATTGGAGTGAACTCGTGATACTAGAATAAATGTAAGATACATCCAGAAAATTATTTTACAGTTTCATGACCAATGGTTAAATTTCAAAAGTTTGATTTCTGTGACAGGCAGAAGTGATTCTTAGTACTGTTGACTATTCTTGTTATATGTTTATGCTCCATACATTCAACATTTATTAACAGGAAGTATGAGAAATTCTCAAAGAGAACATTTTCTTGAGAAATGTTGATGGCTGCTGTGAAACTCGTATGTCAAACAATTCTGTAATGATTAGAATCATGATATATTCAAGTTTCTACTATTTAAATTTTATAAATGTTTGTGACTCAGAATAAAAGTTTCTATCATCTATCAGTGCATCTGTTTCTCCATTCAGCAATCTGGAGCTCCTTGATAATTATTTTTATACAAAATTAATATTTAATAATCATCAAGTATTTCAGAGTTTTGCTCTTACAGTAAAAATTATGCCTTGATACTTTCTGTGATAATCAAGTTTTAACATATACAACACATGGAAAATTTTTTTTCCTCACAATATCACAAATACTCACCTGTGTTTGAAAACATGTAACCAGATATCAACAGTCGATCTTGGTGATGCACCTTTTTCATATCACTGGCTTGGGCTGTCACCCTGGCAGTCACGCAGTCATTGCCTGACAGGAGTTCGGGGCTACCAGGAAAGATGTAAAGGTGGACATCCAGCTGTTGGCTTCCTGCAAGGCTGGACCCAATAGTTGACTTGGGCTGAGGACTGCAGCCACAATAGAAAGGCTTTCCCTGTCAGTCACCACAGTGACATTTCAAAATTCACCTTTTTGAGGCGTAATATACATTTTCCTCTCAGATGTTTGCTGCATTTTGATCATTTTTTCTGTCTTTACTCAAGCCTCTTTCTTCCATATGCATGTAAATTGCTGGAAAGCCTTACAGAACTGTCTCATAGTGTGGACATGCAACCTTAGGACCCTGAATCACACATTTCCTTATGCAACATCAGACTCAACTGCTCCATCTTCATGAGCTAGAGTTGTAGATTGTCCAACCAATGTCCATCTCTGTCTTTTTTCATTGTTCCATTTTTGTATATATCACCTAAGTGTTGGAGTTATAATTTCTTCAGAGGAAATGATCAGGTCTTAGGTTTCTTTGGAGTGAAATCTGTTATCTTCCATATTGCTAGGAACATGTATGTGCTCATGAAATAGCTGAGCTGGCTGTATGTGTCCTTATTAACAGCATTGGCTTTGGACTAACAGCACTGAGTTCAAAATCTGGCTCTGCCCTTTTCTACCTGTAACCCAGGCACATGACCCAACCTCAGTACACTTTTTTTTTTTGAGTCAGAGTCTCACTTTGTTGACCAGGCTGGAGTGCAGGGGCACACTCATGACCACTGCAGCCTTGACCTTCTGTACTCAAGTGATCCTTCTGCCTCAGCCTTCCAAGTAACTGGAACTACAGGTGCCCACCGCCACACTTGGCTAATTTTTGTATTTATTGTAGAGACAAGGTCTTGCCTCATTGCCCAAGCTGGTCTCCAACTCCTGGACTCAGGCAGTCCTCTCACCTCTGCCTCCCAAAGTGCTGGGATTACAGGCATCAGTCACTTCTGCACTTTTTGTCTTTTCATGTATAAAATGGAGATAATAATGGAACCTCAGAGTTGTTGTGAAGATTGAATGAAGTCCATAAAAAGCACCTACCAGCCCTTGGTGCATAAGAGCATGATCAAAACTTTTAAAATATTCTCATCATCAGTGTGGGGCTGTTCAGGTTTAAAAGCCTTAAAATTTGACCACTTGAAATGAAAAACTCTTATCTGTGTTACTCATAGAAGTTACTGAAATTGACCCACAGCGGTGGCATATCCTAGGACTTAGTTATGGGTAGTCACTTGACATTAGAGTTCTAACTCTCAAAATGCTGAGTGGAGAGAACTCATGCGCTCTCACAAGGGTAGATCACTGCGCATTGTCTGAACCTGTGTGACTACAGCCACCTGGCGGGTGGCCTAGGCCATTTCATGTGCCGAGCTTGTTCTTTCTCTCAAAGCTGCATCATGATAACCATGCTCTTGTGTCTGCAGCCAAGATGAGGAAGAACACGATGGCTTTCCCGACACACACACGTCACCCCTGCCATCACCATTCCTGTCTGCCATCATCGCTGCCTTCCAGCCCGTAGCTTGCGAGGATGAGGAGGAAGCCTGGCGCTGCCACGTCAACCAGATGCTGTCTGACTCGGATGGCTCCTGTGCAGTGTTCACCTTCCACGTGTTTTCCAGGCTGTTCCAGGTCAGTGAGGCTGGAGTGTCTGAATCCACATGATTGTTACCTGATTGAGTTCACAGTTTTCCTTCTAAAATTTCCCATTTCTTTAACAAATTTTTTTTTGTAAGCCAATGGTGTTACTTAACCCTTTGCACTTGGACACGTCTCATGGATCACCTACTAGCAACTCAACTATGCTTTTTTACGAAATAGTAAAAAATGAATCACTTCCTATTAAATAGTTTAACATTGGAACCAATTATTCTATTGTAATGATATTTGGCTTATAATGGAATTTTGGACATGGAAGAACTTGATGATGACAAAAAAATCAAAATTTTGCATCTTGTATTTTCTAACGTGTGGTAATATGGGAAACAGTTGCTGATATGCATTGCAGGTTCATTGATATGTGTTGTACAATAGTAATTTGTTTCACATCTTCCACCTGGTGTTTTCTATTCGAGCAGACAGTACAGTCTCATTTTCTTCCTCCCACATTAATAATGTGTCATTTTTTGTCCAGTCTGTTGTTCAAAGAAGATATGGAAGGACACACTTGTGATTCCTGAAAACCACTTCTCAACTGATCGATTATATCTCAGCATATAGTCTATCTCTTTATTTGCTTTTTCATGGAATTTGAATGGACAACCTCAAGGAAACATACATTTTTTAAAAATTTGTGCTGGCATAAGTTGGTCCTGTATAATCAATCACCAGCAATCTCCCTATGTCCCCTGAGAGGGGACACCCAAGTAGTTTGCTAGATTTATTTTTATTTTTATTTTTATTTTTTTTTGAGTTGGAGTCTCACTCCGTCGCCCAGACTGGAGTGCAGTGGCCGCTCCCGGGCACCGCAGCCTCGACCTGCTAGGCTCCGGCGATCCTTCCGCCTCAGCCTTCCAAGTAGCAGGAACTACAGGTGCGTGCTACCACGCCCGACTGATTTTTGATTTTTTTTACTGTAGAGATGAGGTCTCCCCAAGTTGCCCAGGTGGGTCTCGAACCCGCGGGCTCAGGCAATTCACTCACCTCAGCCTCCCAAGGTGCAGGATTACAGGCTGAGCCACCGAGCCAGGCTGCTAGATTTATGATGTCCTCTCAGAGTGGACATCCGAGTGCAAAGGGCTAAATTTACACCAAGACATTGTGGTACTGCTGGTAATTTACACAGTGACCAGCACAGATGTCTCCCCCCAGCAGTTAGAGGTGAAATTGAAACCACATCCGCTCAGTCCTCTACAGTATGCCAGGCACCTGAGCACCACAGGAGCCAAGGCCTAGCCCCTGCCTTCGGGGAGCATTCAGCACCTTGAATCTGTTTACAATCAAGGGTTAAGTTAGTTGGCACTTGTATTACTCTGTGGGGACCTTACAATTTGCTTTTGACCCTTATAACAACGATAATGTAAGCTAACGCATAGTGAGTACTCATGACATGCCAGAATACCTCACGCAAGTGTCCTTGCAGCGCCACTGTGGAAGGTAGATACTTCTTTTAGCATGCATGGAGAGGGAAACTGAGGCACAGAAAGTCTGAACCCTAAAGTCTGAACTGTCTGTCCCTCTTTCTCCCTGCCAAGGCATTCTGCCGCCTGGGAAGTACTCTGTTAAATATATCTTCTCACAGAAGCCTTCCTGACCCACCAGCCCACTGCCCTTCCCACCCTCCACCCCTACCCGCCCAGGGCTCAGTGGAGCACTTGTTGACTCAGTTCTATCCTCCTTGCATCACTGCTGTTTTTCTGTGCATATTCATTTCTTTCCAGTGATGCTGTGAGTTTCTCAGTGGTGACTGAGGCTACAGACCAGGCTTTTTTCTAGTCGCTCATACCACCTAATAGTACTCGCATAGGTGCACGTCAGCTATTGAGATCATGCTTATACCACTGGCAATAGGATTTAATTGACTGAGTGCTTACTAGGGGTCAGGCACTTTCTTATTGTTTATGAAAATGAATATTCTTGGGCTTCAAGAAGATATTACCTACCCTTCATGCATATTTATGACTTTAATTAAAGCTAAGTCAGGGATGGGCATTGTGGCTCACACCTGTGATTCCAGAACTTTGAGAGGCCGAGACAGGAGTATCACTTGAGCCCAGGAATTTGAATCCAGCCTCAGCAACCTAACGAGACCTCATCTCTACAAAAAAAATAAAAAAATTAACCAGGCATGGTGGCGTGTGCCTGTAATTTCAGCTACTTGGAAGGTCGAGGCAGGAGAATTGCCTGAGACTAGGATGTCGAGGCTGTGGTGAGCCATGACCACATGTCGCCTGGGTGACGGAATGAAACCCTGACACACACACACAGACACACACACACACACACACACACACACAGTTAAGTTGGAGGGCAGCCTATAGCCAGCTATAGTGAACTACATTTACTGGAAGTTTTCTTCAGGGATTAACTTCAAAGGAGCTCATTCCTCAGATGCGGGAGGATTCCTTCTGCCATTCCTAATAAAAAACTCAGGATGGGGAGGTGAATGGCAGACATCACTACTTGTGTAAATCTTTGATTGGTTTTTTAAAATCTTTGGTTGTTTTTAGAAATTAACTTGTTTCTTAAAGAAGTACCTGAAAACGAGAATTTATGTATCAGTGATTAGACTTCTACACATCATTACAAATTTTAAACTAAGAATCTCCCTCTTGGGCTTCTTCACTGAAAGGTAGAAAAGGCCGTCTGTGAAATCCTAAACTCTTCCGTATGCTTTCCTACAGACGATTCAGAGGAGGTTTGAGGAGATCACAAACGAGGCAGTGGGCTTTCTTGGGGAGAGTCTGCAGCGCATTGGAGCCAAGTTCAGGGGTTCCCTGGAGGTGATGCTGCTGTGCTCAGAGTGCCCCACAGTCTTCGTGGACGCAGAAACGGCAAGTGTCCACATGTCTTTACTAGAGGGATGAAATGTGAACACCATCGTTCAATAAATGGTCTTTTTTTTAATTTTTAATTTTAAAGATGCGGGGTACAATTCAGGTAACCTAAAGATGTTAGGTATACAAATGTTCATTATTCAGGTACCCTTATTGATAGAGTGTGCCCCCCTCCCCTGGCAGTTTCCCACTAGTTAATGACCTTTTTAAAAAGCAGTTTAGAATGTTAAAGTGTGAAGGTTCATATTTTCAACTTGATTATAAATGTCTGGCAAAGTACAGTTTGCCAGCAGCCAGGTGCAGTGGCTTACACCTGTAATCCCAGCACTTTGGGAGGCCGAGGAGGGAAGATCCCTTGAGCCCAGGAATTGGAAACCACACTAAGCAACATAGCAGGACCTCGTCTCTACAAAAAAATTAAAAAATTAGCTGAGTGTGGTGGCACAAGCCTGTAGTCCCAGCTACTCAGGAGGCTGAGGCAGAAGGATCGCCTGAGCCTAAGAGGTCGAAGCTGCAGTGAGCCATGATCGTGCTACTGCACTGTAGCCTGGGAGACAGAGCGAGACCCTGGCTCAAAAACAATATATATATAATCCCAGTAGATTAGGACTTGCAATTTGTGACTCTGTCTGACCCAGCCCTCTCACCCTCACCCTGTGGAGTCCTGGCTGGGAAGCTGGAGTCATGCTCTGGAGATGGGCACTTTCCTCTGATTCTTGAATAAAAATGGGCAGGGACGGCCAGACCTCCCCTGTGACATACCCAGAGCTCATGGTCTTCCCTCATGTATTTCCATGCACACTTAAGGATGGTATGTTAGGATATTTAAAGAATTAAGATTCCAGAAGCTCCAGGGCAACTCGTTTCATGTGTACACTGGCTGGCATGCGGTTCTTGCCTTAGCCAGTCTCCCAAAGCATCTACAGGTGTGCCTACCCTTCCTGACACCCTTCAAGTCCCACTGTACTCCTGCTCAGTTTCAGCCCAAGTCCAGCCCATAATATGGAATAGAGTGCAGTCAGGGAATATCCGAAAACCAACTAACAGATGCTCCTTGACTGAGAGTCGTCAGTCTCATGAATGCAGTCAGAGTGGTTAACCTGGACCCCTGTGTTTTTGATTTGACAGCTGGTGTCATGTGATTTACTAGAGACCCTCAAGTTCAGTGTTTTGGAGCTGCAGGAGCACCTGGATACGTACAATGCCAAGAGAGAGGCCGCTGAGCAGGTCAGTGTCTTCCTCGCCTGTGGAAATAGCTTGCTGTTGATGCCAGGAGGCTCAGCCTGGCAGCAGAAGAGCCTAGACGGGAAAGAAGGCCTCACAACTCTGGCCTCTGGGTGGTGTTGAGAACAGCGGGTCCTTCAAGCCCTCTGTTCAGTGAAGTCCTGGCTTTGGCTTTTGGAGGTGGGCCCCTTGGCACTATGGAAGACCATAGCTTTGCACTAAGTGTCTGTGTGGAGATTGCGGCTGCCGTCAGCCCTGCAAAGTGGGAGGGAGAGTGGTCCTGCTCTGAGCATGCACCCCAGAATTGTGCTCTAGAAACCCTGCAGCTTTGGGCAGAGCCATGGCCTGTTCCCCGTGGCACGTGTGTGTGTGTGAGCAAGCTAGGGGCATGACAGGTATCACTTGCTGAGAAACGTGGCTTCTGTTATGGTCTGGCATTGCAAACAGGGCAGCTCAACTTGTGGGGGTACGTCCAGCATGTTTTCAGTTGGCATCAGCAGAAAAATGAGAAATGCCTCTCCCCCCTTCCATAAACTGCAGACAGTAGTGTTGTACCTGAATCCTGAATCCAAGAGACCACCAAAGAGCCAGCTCTGATGCAAATCACACGAGGGTCTTTATTCAGGCTCGAGTCTGGGCTCACGTCCGTAACCGGCGCAGCGGTACAGGAACGAGAGCCCTGACCCAGCGCAGCAAGCAGCTTATATACACAGTTATAAGGGAGGGGAAAGAACTTTAAACTTGTTTGCACATGATTGGGTCATTTCTCCTACTGGGTACGAGGGCGTTTGGGATTGGTTGGTTTGTATGGTCGCGGGTTGCGGCTGACCGTGGCTGACCATCAACGGTCAGGCGGGCTGGGTGGAACCGGTTGGGACATCTAGAATGTGAGATTACTAGAAGAGTAGAGCAGGAAATGGGGAAATGGGGCCGGAGGGTCTGCACCGTGACTCCACGGTTTTCTTTTGGTATGTGAACTTGTTTACCAAAAGTATACTACTGGGCTTGGGCGGGAAAGCAAGCATACATCTGAGTTTTAAAAACAAGTTTCAATACACATTCAATTTAAGCTTCAACCTACACTTAAAACAAGTTTTATCACACAATTATGAACTAGATGGCCCTTGAGCTCCTCAAGTAGACTTTTTTTTTTCCTAGAATAGGAGATGGGTCTTTCATTAATAAGTATAATGAAAGTGGCTCATGCCTGTAATCCCAGAACTTTGGGAGACCGAGGTGTGAGGATTGCTTGAGGCCAAGAGTTCGAGCTCAGCCTGGGCAACCTAGTGAGACCCCCATCTCTACAAAAAATAAAATAAAATAAATAAAATAAAGTAAAAGTTAGCTGGGTGAGGTGGTGCAAGCCTGTAGTTCTAGCTACTTGAGAAGCTGAGGCAGAAGAATTACCTGAGCCCAGGTCAAGGCTGCAGTGAGCCATGATGTTGCCACTGTACTCCAGCCTGGGCCAAAGAGTGAGACTCCAACTCAAAAAAAAAGTATAAATATTACATGTAAAAAGTCTATAAAAAATGATATGTGCTACCTGGTTTTTGTTCCCTAAACATTCCAGATGGGATCATTAAGCGCAAATACCGTGTATGAATATCTAGTAAGAAAAGCCAAGTGTCTGTCACTTAAGCTAAAGCTACAAATAAAAGTACTGGCAATGAAAGAGACCCCAGGGTCATGCACGTGAACGGAGAACTGATGCAGACCAAACTCCATGATCTGCAAAGGGACTCGCTCTGCACTGATGGGAAACGTCTAGCAGTTAAGGTTGGGCTCGGGGAGCATTTCAGAGAATGAATGAATATGAGAAGACACTTCTGTAGAGGCTTTCTCCCCTTGCGGAAAGCATGGTCTTATGTTGGACTGAAGGGATGATGCAGATGGGGAAGAGGAAGGCATTCGCTGCACCAGGAGGGGAGCAGGAAGACTGGTCCTCTGGTGGTTGGCGCTCCTGGGTGTATTCTCTGCTTTCCTTTTGCCGTGTGTGCATGGATCCATCAGGTACCTCTCTAAGAGTGAGGGGCTGGGTCACCATGCACTAGATTTCCGTTTCCAAGCAGTTTCCAAAAGAGGTCATGTTCATGTGTGATCCCACCAGAAGGGTGTGTAGGCATTGCTCTGCTTCATGCCTCCACCACTGCTGGGTGTTGCCACCTTTCGGAACTTGAGTCATTCTGGCAGGCGTGTGGTGGTGCCTCCCATTACCATTCTACATATCCTTGATGGCTGACATGTGAGCACCTTTTCACATGGATACCTCCACTTAGATATTTGGAGATTTGTGCCTTTGAGTACCAAGCCGGTGTCCATGAATGGATTGTGTCCTTCTCACTGATTTAAATATGTTTCCTTCCTGGTGGCTCACATTTTTCTATCTGAATAGAATTTTTTGATGATCAGAAGTTGTTTACTTGTAGAAGTCCATGTGACCAGTCTTTTTGCATCTTCAGGAATCACTGCCCACAAGAAGCCACAGCAGGTTGTTAGGATGATGGCCCAAAGCCTCCTGCCTGCCCTCTCCACACCCCTGCAATATGATCTGGCCATTCTTCCCAGTGCAGTTCCCCGCCTCTTAATCCTGAGCCAGCCTCATAACTTATTCTAACCATGGAACTCAGAAGCAATGCTCTGCAGCTCCGAGACCACCCTGGAGAGGGCTCTTCCAGCTTCTGCTCCTGCCATCATGCTGTTTAGAGTTTAAATTGGGAGCCACTCTGGGAAACAGTTTGGCCTACAGCCTCCTGAGGTTGAGAGGCAGTGTGGAGAACAGGCATTCCAGGCAACAGCCCACATGCCAGGTATACAACTGAGGCCAGCTTGGAATTTCAGCCCCAATCATGCCATCAGATGATGGAGGCCTTACGAATAACTCTGGGCGAGAGCTGAAGAAACTCCCAACCAACACACAGACTCAACTTGGTTGTTGGAAGCCGTTATGTTTTAGAGTGGCTGGTTTTACAGCAGCAGATACCATTGATGATAGGAAAGCACTAAATACTTGCAAATAAACCCAGCTGAAGATGCAGAAAACCCCAAAAAGGACTGAGAAGAAGGAAAGACCATCTAAGTAAAGGGAGGACTGTGCACCATGTTTATGAAGCAGAAGATTCAGTGTTGTCCAGATGTCAATTTCCCCCATCATGTCCATAGGTTTAATGCCGTTCCATTCACAATCCGAGATGGTATAGTAAAAGAATCGGCAGGCTGATTCTAAAGTTGATATGGAAATATAAACAGCTAATAATAGCACAAGCTGTCTTCTCAAATGCAGGTCAGCAAACTACAGCCCTCCAGTTCCATCTGGCCCACCTTGTGCTTTTGTGAATAAAGTCAGGCAGTAGAGCACAACTGTCCCACTGGTCTGCGTGGTGTGCATGGCTATGTTTGTTCTGCAGCACAGTGTTGAGTAGCTGCAACAGAGACTACAGTTTGCAAAGCCTAACATGTTTGCCATCTGCCATGTTTACTGTTCGGTTTTTCCCCTGTCAGTTTCTTCAAGACTTGAAGGCTCACAGGGAAGCCTGGGGGATTTCCTGGGACCCCACTGTGTCAGCAGGAAGTTGATGGTTTTCGTCTCCCTAGAAAGTGAGACCAGGGGCCCCGCCCGCCTTCTCACCTCCCAGAGGCTGCCATGTGGGTTCTTAGTCCCCCCCCCCCCACATATTAATCAATGCAGGAGCAGCACATGTCCCTGATGCCCCAGCGGAAATATAGGGCCCAGGCTCGAGACCACTCTGTCCTGCCTCTGAGCCCAGGATATGAGTAAGCAGCACCCTAAACGCTGGGCAAGGAACTGAAGGGCTCCCTTGTGCCTTCTCTGACGCCTCTGGTTTGACTGGTAGCACTCAGCCCTCACAGCTGTCCTCGAAGGACTGGCCTTACCTAGGTTACTCCACCACACCCAGAAGTGGAATCTCGCTGGGGAACGCTCCACCTTCCTTTGAGCCTTGAGTAAAGAAAGCATCATGGCAAGAAGGCTGGTGAGATGGAACCAGGTGTTTCTGTATGCACCACTGCTGTGTCTGGCATGCGCACTGAGATAGGCATGGCCCTCTGTGTGCCTCTCGGGCTGTGGGCAGCAGGGGGATTATGGGGTCAAGCTTGTCTTCTTACACAATAAAAGTCAGCGATAACACATGGACACATGCCCCCAGGTGCTGTGCCACTAGGGATACAGTATAAAAAATTACGGAAGAACATGCCATGAAATAATCAACTTGAGATATTCTTTCAAATGTATGGGTATACTTGGAAACTGGACAAGATCAGTGATGATTAAGTGTGTCAACGTTTTAACATTTTGTAGGAATAGAGAGTAATGCGTGGATTCCATGCTAGATGTCAGCTGCACTTTGCTGATGTGAAGAAAGCTGCTGGTGGCTTTGACAATGGCTGGCCCCGGCTGCTTCTCACTAGAAAAGCTTAACATGTTTTTCTTTAGAGATGCTGTCAAACAGATGGCCCCGGGCCAGTGAGATCTGAGGGAGCAGAAGAAAAGAAACACAAGGTCAAGAGACTGCTTTTGAAATAACTGAGATGTCTAATTTTAAATCTTTGCATGTTGCAGCATTCCGCTACAATTGAGAATTTCAAATGTCTACAACGAAAATATTTTTAGAGTAGTTACTTAATGTAGCTGGTAGTTTGATTTCTCAGAGTCCTAACAAAAACATCCTAATAAGTTCATATAGACTAGTTTTATTATGTTCAATAATATAACCATTAAAAGAACTAGAAATCAAAACAGCTGATAATATCAAGCTGTCATGACCGGGTGTGGTAGCTCATAATCCCAGCACTTTGGGAGGCCAATGCGGGAGGACTGCTTGAGTAGAGGAGTTCAAGACTAGTGTAGGCTAGTGAGAACTTCATCTTTACTCCCCAAAAAGGAAAAAAAATTAGCAAGGCTTGGTGGCACACGCCTGTAGTCCCAGTTACTCAGGAGGCTAGGGCAGGAGGATTGCTGAGCCCAGGAGGTCAAGACTGAAGTGAGCTACGCTCATGCCACTAATCTCCAGCCTAGGTGACAGAGTGAGATCCCCAACTCAAAAAAAAAAAAAAAAAAAAAGAAAAATCAAACTGCCAATCCAAGGAGCTTAACTGGAAGGTGCTCAACTTTTCCTTCAGCTTGGAAATCCTGTGGCCCCAACGCTTTTTTCCACTATTGTTTATCTATTTGGCAGAAGAAAATGTACTTTAATATCAACTTTAGGAATAGCCCCTGGATAAGGAAAAGTCACATTTGACTTTGACATCCCATATTCCTTGGAGATAACATGTTTGTCATTCATTACAGTCCAAAAAGAAAGAAAAGAAGAAGAAATAAAAACAAACGATCTTAGACCAAAAGCTTACCTACCGAGTTCAGTGTGCACAGGTGGGGGTGGCAGGTACACTTAAAGCCCAGACTTCTCCACTACACAGTGTAACCACATAACCAATAACTGTTTGTACTCCCTGAAGCTATTGAAATAAAGAATAAACAAACACTGCAGATCTTGATTTCATTTACTAATTGTAACTGACACCAGCGCTGGAGAACTGGCTCTGACAGCAGACGGCCCTGGCAGGTGGGGTGGGCTTTATCAGATGGGGGCACATCCTTCCACTCCCGACTGCAAACTCACAAGGAGCAGGCATAGTCTGCACACTGGCAAGTGTCCTTACTGAATAGAGCCCCCGGGCCCCGAAACCACTTGCTGTGCTTTCCTCTTGGCCACCACGAATCGCCCCTGACTATGCTGGTGCCGTCCTATTCAATTGTTCCGTATAAAGGTCAAAGTCTGTGCCTACAGCTGGTACTAGAACTGCAGGTTAAGTTTGTTGTTTTATGCAGACAGGCTGCTCTGTTGCCAGTGTCATTGTGCACTATGCAACTACTGTATTATAATTTACCGTTGCTTGCTTTTAGTGGCTAGACAATTGTAAGAGGACATTTGGTGCCAAAGAAGACATGTATAGGAGAAACCCAGATGCACAAGTGAGTTTCTTCTTCTTCTTGCTTTTTTTATTTTGTTGTATGTTTATATCAGGTAAAACAATGTATGTTCAAATGTCCTCACTTGATATTGTAGCAATAAAGAATATTTTGTTTTATGTCCAGAAATAAACAATATTTTCATTTTGGTTATCAGAACAATCTTTGTAAAAGTTAGTTCAGTGAAATATTGGCTTAGCAATGTAAATATCACTTTAATAAAAATGAACAACCAGCTTGTGAGTGGAGGTTAATAACATTCAGTAGATACGCTTGACGGATGTCCACACAGGCCAGGTCAGCTTTTAACTGCATCTGCCTCTAAAAAAAAAAATCTGTCCTGCTTTAGTATTCCCCAGATGAATTGTCTGGGCAAGAAAGCAAACCTGAGAGTAATGCGACAGCCTTCCAGCCTAGACTTTCAGCAGATGAACTCCTGATGATAAATTGTCATGTGCTTCTGCAATGTAAAGCTCAGTGAAAACAACAGCAGTGTGTTTTCTTGGAGAAGGGTTAGGACCTACAGAGCATTCTAGTGGGAGCGCAGCTTCCAACGGGGCAGAGGCACTCAACAACTAGGCCTCATCTCCACCAGATGTCACAATTCCAGGCTTTCTCAACTCAGTGACATTAACTGCAGATTTCCAGTCTCTGTAAGAGTCATATTATTATAATAAAAATGTGAAGTTTTGGGAAAACTGCAGTGTTTAGAAAATACTAATATACTCAGGAAATGTTACCCACGTGCCAGCCACTGTGCTAATAACATTTCCCATTCACTGTCCCCATCCTTACAACTCAGTCAAGTATCCCCATGTTGAAGATAAGAAGACTGAGGCTCAGAAGGGCTGGTTTATCTCAAATCAGGTAGGGAAGAGCAGAGCCAAGATTCCAACTCAGCAGGCTGACTCCAGTCCTGCATTGTGCTCGAAAGAAGCTGAGCTTGTGTACGAGGAGAGGAGCAAGATGAGGAATTACCCCAAGTGAGGACCACATCCTTTGGTCTCAGCCACTGTCCAACAGCATCACTTAGCAAGGGGTGTGACCATTCTTCCTTATAAACAAGGTGGCTGGGCCAGGTGATTTCTTATAGCCAAGAAATGATACCCACCTCTGAGACTGTAAGCCAATTAACACAGCTTGAGGTCTTTTAAGAAAACTGAAAGCCAAACACTGGAGACTGCCATTGTATCTTGGCTGTCTTTCACATGCAGCTTTGCTGAGGGCGGGAGACCCTTTTCACATGCTCTGCCTACTTGTTGGCCCTGGCACCATGGTGCACAGCCTTCATATAAGTGAGCAGTCGGTAGACATGCATTGGATGAATAAAGGAGAAAGTAAGCACACACTTTAATATTCTTAAGAAGCAACAATTTAAAATGTGCATGTATGCTTATCCTCCAAAACCACGCTGCTAGCGTGTCCATGGTCACTTCCAGCAATTCAGGGCTATAGGGCTCATTACGTTCATGTCACTTCCGGCAGTTATGATCATGCGCTCCATCCATGATTCACACACCATCATATCCCAAGCAGGGGCTGTGCGCAAATGCGTGTGGAATCAGCTCTACTTTATGCTGACAGAAGTGAGGAAAAGTATTTAAAATGCAAATTGTTAGTTTTCACATGAAATACTTCAGAAACATAGCTGTGCTAGTATGCTTGACGTTGGACTGTGCCGGCCAGGGTTGGCTCACAACTGTCCATGTAAGGTATGCAAGCAGCGTGGCTTGAAAGTTCACCTCTGCATATTCAGGAAATCTCTCCTTATTGATAGGAATAACGGTTAGATGAGCAGGCCTGCAAGGACACTGTCTGGAAAAGCAGCTGAAGAATGACATTATAATGCTACCTTCACATGAAAACCATTGCTGTTTTCATTAAAAGTCATTCTTCTTCTAGTGAGACCAGATCCAAGTTGCTGTAGGTGTTTTAACAAAATTGTTAAGATAGCCCTTGAATTTGACTTTTTCCATGCATTGTCTTCTTTGATTCAAACCTCGTGGGGCTAAATTTCTGAAACGTACTAAATTGTATTTGGAATGCAATGCAGACACAATTCTGCATTCCATAGCCCCCACTGTGGCTTACACCAATTATGACCATGAGAACCTAATTATACAGGGAGGGGAATCCTAGAATGAGCCACCCCAGAATCTTCTGATGGGTAAGTATTTATTATGTAAGATCATGGACCTGTTCCTTTCTGAGAATTAACAAGAATTCATTTGTTTCTTAATTTCTAGTCATAAGCTTTCCATTTTACTGATGGAAGTTTTATTACAGTTGGATTGGGTTTTGTTTTTGTGGAAAACCTAGATAGAACACGTACAATAGCCAAATTCCCCAAGATCACAATAGTTCCATTTTATTCTTTGTAGCTTTTACACTGAAACAAGCCATTGCCTAAATGTACTTTGGTTATGTTTGACAGAGTTAAAAACACCCTGAATTGTTACAGTAAATATCTAAAAAGTTTTATTCTGAAAACTAAATCATAAAATTGTCCTTGGGGTGTAAGTATGTGTTCTTCAGTATGCCTGGGACATCTGTGACCCTGGTTTAAATGATTTCTTACACTAATTCTTGGTCTTTTTCTTTCTTTGTATTTTTGTGACCTGATCACCTTCTTGCTTAGCAAATGGAAATACTAGCAGTAAGTGACCTGCCTTGATTTATAGACTACTCACCCTTGCCAGACAGACTGGTTCTCATCTGTCATTTGTCCATGTGTGACCTAGCAGTATTCTGTCATGGACTACTTTAAGTAGTGTGTGCTTCCATCCTACATAGTCTTAATCCATGAAATGTTGGTTCTGTAAAAATACTGAGATTTTATCATCAATACGTCCCACTAGCAGTCACCTTTTCCTACATCGATAACTAACATTGCTCCTTTTAAATGTCTTAATTTTAAAAAACGAAAGCATGAGTGTCAATTTCATAGTCTTATTTCAGTAAGATTACCAAGTGGTTTTCTGGGTAAGCGGTTACCCAGTCTTGCTATGCTTTATCAGGCACATGTAGATTTATGAAGCATGTGGGGGCAGAAGTCTATGCATTTGTCAGTTCTTTATACTATGAATTTGAAGTTGTAAATGACAGCAAATCCTTTGTAAGGCATCCTACCTATTGCCAGCAGAAACATTCCATTGTTGAATGTGAAAATAAACGATGTAACCAACAGCCATCTTTGTTTTGGTTTAATCTTAGTGTCGAGCGTACTTCATCTGCCTTTCATCAGCTTCACCCCATATTAACTTGCTCATGCAGAAAAGTAAACACCCAGACAGTTTTAACATAGCTATGTACAATCTGTTATTGGAAACGTGCTGTCTAGTCGGTGTCCTGCAGAATCACACCTGCCTAACGTGCTGTTCCTCCCCCAGGAGCTGGAGCTCTGCCGAAGACTGTACAAGCTGCACTTTCAGCTGCTACTCCTGTTCCAGGCCTACTGCAAACTCATCAGCCAAGTCGGCACGATAAAAAATGCCGCAGAGGTGAGGACTGGGCTTGCCACATGCCAGGGACAGGCTCCGGGAACCTAAAGCATATCCGTACATGTGGTATGGTCAGAACAGCTTAGGTCAGAAGTCACTTGCAGTGATTCACTCTTCCAGTTGAGCAATGATCTGTTTCTGAAAAGATGTGCTGTGTCAGGATCTAGTAGCACACAAGACAGCAGGTGCCCAGCAGCCTTAAAAGGGTCACGCTGGCCGGATGCAGTGGCTCAAACCTGTAATCCCAGCTCTTTGGGAGGCCGAGGCGCAAGGATTGCCTGAGCACAGGGGTTCAAGACCAGTCTGGGCAACTCATCTCTACAATATATCAAAAAATTAGCTAGGCGTGGTAGCATGTGCCTATAGTTCCTGCTCCTTGGAAGACTGAGGCGGAAGGATTGCTAGAGCCTGGCAGGTCAATGCTGGGGTGGCTATGAGTGTGCCACTGCACTCCAGCCTGGATGACAGAGTGAGTGAGACTCTGACTCAAAAAAAAAAAATAGGGTCAAGCCATTATGCTTTCAGTAGCAGGAACAGATCATGTATAATAAAAAGTCAAATGAAGCACACTAACGCAATGAAAACTTAAAATTGTATTATGAAGACCCCAACATCTTATCTATATATCAATTCTGAGGTTCTGTTAATGCATACAAGATTAACATGTTGAGGCTGGGCATGGTGGCTCACGCCTGTAATCCCAGCATTTTGGGAAGCTGAGGTGGGAGGATCGCTTGAGCCCAGGAGTTCAGGACCATCCTGGGAAACACAGCGAGACCTCGTCTCTAAAAAATCAAAAAGTTAGTCGAGTGGTAGCACCTGCCTGTAGTACCAGCTACTCAGAAGGCTGAAGTGGAAGAATCACCTGAGCCCTGGAAGTCAGGGCTACAGTGAGCTGTGATCGTGCCACTGTGCTCTAGCCTGGGTGACAGAGTGAGACCCCTACTCAAGAAACAAAAAAAGAATAAACCTGCGACAGACGCTTTGGATTTAGATGTGGAAATCAGCACTCATTCCATATCTAGCTTCAGAGGTGGTGATGTCAATCTCTCCTTGTCATCTACTGGCACTAAAGCAGTCCCTGGGGAAATGATGTAATTTCCAAAAATGGTTAGATTTGCAGAAAGAAAGAAAATATATTTTCATAAAAATACCCTGGGTAAATAACCTTTTAAAATGTAAAGACTTTACTGTCAAAAAAGCTTTCATGATTCTCCCATAACAGTAAGTGTATTTTTGCTATCCAAATGTAATAATGTTAAAACCAACATAAACACTTACTGCAACTTGTTTCTTTATCAAGAATATTTCATTTAAAGACTACTGTTTGGTGGAATGTATTGATTCCTACAGAATGAAGAGCCTGAGACAGTGACCTCCCTTACTTCTAAGTTTAACAAATGAGTGACAGAGTGAGACTAACTCAAAAAAAAAAAATCTTTAGTATAAGAGAGATCCCCCACCTGCAGGTGTGGCCTGGTAGCCAGTAGGAGCTCTTTTGTTCCAGCCACATGCAGAGAGCCTTCCGGGTGTTCTTGTTTTAGGTCATCAACATGTCAGAGGAACTTGCCCAACTGGAAAGCATCCTCAAAGAAGCAGAGAAGGCTTCAGAAAAAGAAGAAATCGACATTTCCAAAGCTGCACAAACAACCATAGAAACGGCCATTCATTCTTTAATCGAAGCCCTGAAAAATAAGGAATTTGTATCAGCTGTCGCACAAGTCAAAGCTTTCAGGTAAAAAGCGAAAGTGTTTAAAGATGACGACTTTCAGCCAGGCTGTTGATGAATAAGTTTACTAATGTTAGATTTCAGTTTTCAATTTGATGTTTCGATATCATGATTCTGTGAAAGGCAAGTGGGCCTTTCTTTAATAAAAAGCAGTCCCACTGACATAAAGACTTTAGATTTCTTTCCATGTCCAGGTGATACTGTATTAGGTGTGCTCAATGTTAAAATAGATCACCAGTTATTCACAAGGAGTTTTTGGTGTTATATGTATTGACTTAAAATGAGTTAATCTTGTATAACAATTGCTTAAGTCTCAGAACTTATGCAATATCGTGTGTTTCCAGATCTCTCTGGCCCAGTGACATCTTTGGCAGCTGTGAGGACGACCCGGTGCAGACGCTGTTACACATTTACTTCCACCATCAGACGCTGGGCCGGACAGGAAGCTTCGCTGTTGTTGGCTCCAACCTGGACATGTCAGAAGCCAGCTACAAGCTGATGGAGCTGAACTTGGAAATACGAGAGTTCCTCCGCGTGCTGCCATCCTTCCAGCTGCTGGCACAGGCCAAGCCACTGGGAAGCGTACTGAGCACTGGGTTCTGAGACTCTTCGGCGTCCAGGCAGGAACCAAGCTGATGACGGAGAATGTTGACCATGCACGTTCCACTGACCCTTGCGAGTCACTGACAACCTTCTGGCAGCATCTGCAGTTGGAGTGTGACTCGTGTCAAACTGTCAAAGAGCTGAAAGGAAAAACCTCAGTTTCACGGCTGCCGATACCTCTCACAGTACTGTGTGCAGAAGGAAATGGAAGTTCCTTAACCTACGAGAAAAGGGCTAATGTGACTCGTCCAGACATGACTTCGTGGGGACAGGAGGGAACTGCAAGAGCGTTTGCAGTAACGGCTTCCAGTTCCAGGCCCCGCAGCAGGTGGCGTGAGGCTGGCACCCAGGCCGGTGCGTTCTAGCTGAAGACCTCACAGCTGCTGGGGTTCCCGCACATGACCCGTGGACACCGTCAGACAGATGGACGCACGGAGACTCGCTTGTGACTTTTCACGATGCGGGATGAGGGTTGGGGGCGTTTTGTTTTGTTTTCTGGTATGTGCAAGGAGGTGTGTGTGTGTGTGTGTGTGTGTGTGTGTGTACATGCGAGTTGGGATGTGTGGACACGTGACAGTCATTTTCAAGGTGTGGGTGTTTGGTGATGCGTCTCAGAGCGTGCCCGAAAGAGCACTGCAAGATTATTTTTGAAGAAATTTTATTTTATTAGCTCTAACTCTTCTAGTATGTAAATGTTAGAACATTTTAATAATATTTTAAAACTGGGCTTTCCCAGTATCTCAGAAAGAAATAATATATCTGTAACGTCATTGAATGCTGCTCAGTCCTCTGATCAGTGCTCACGTGACGATTGTTGATGACTAACCAAAGTAGATGCCTGCAGAGACTTTCAGATGTAAAATAAAGATGTGTGCTGCCCGTCAGCTATTCTCAGTAGAAAAGTTAACTTATTTTAATCCATAATTATTCTAGAAACTGTATAGACTAAAACCTGTATTTTCTTGTACATTTGCACCATGCACTGTTACACAAGAGTAGGTGTACAAAGCTCAAGGAATAGGTGTGGTGGTGGATAACATAGCATCCGACGTGCAGCTTTGGGGCAGAGTTCAAGGAGCGACACAAACCATCTCCTGGTCCAGCAGGCCTCACATTCTGCCCTGAGGATCCCGGGGCTGCGAAGGGAGGGTGAAAGGTGGCCTGAAGGTGGACCACCAGACTCGCCGCACTCCCCCTCGCTGTCCAAGCTGTAGATAATGTGGAGTCTGTCCTTTTTTTAAATAGCATTTTTGTATTTAAAGAAAAGAAAAAACCATAGTCCCACGCCTCCTCGTTTGAAGGGAACACCCTATATTTTTATACACATCTCTGACCACTGTGACTGTCCTCTCCAGCTGGGCTCCATGGCGGCGGGGTTTGGAATGTAGACATGAAGCACTTAGCTCTGCCCTTCGGTGGCCACCAGACCTGCCAGCGCTGCTGTTGCTGCATCTGCCTGGGAGCGCTGGCGAAAGGTTCTGCTTGTGTAGACCATGGACCACGTGCCCCAGTCGCATCGCCAGGAGGAATGCCCCGCTGGTCACGGCTCCTTCACCACAATCACTGTTTTTTGACCCTGATAAAACAATTACTCTGATGGTGTTCTGGTACTGTAACTGGCATCCTTTAAGTTATTTAACAGCCTCCTGTGAAGCAGGCAGAGCGGGTGATGTCCAGGGCCACCAGCACCTATGCGGCCTCTCTCACAGCCCCTGCTCCTCACCCTCCTCACATCCTTTTTGTTAAAAAATAAAAACCATTGTAGCTGTTGGCTTGTGTTGTACTTTAAAAAAAGAATGAATAGTGTGCATCATTTAGGAACTTCAAACATGACTTTCATCCTTCTTAAATACAGAACAAAGTTAGCTAAATTGACTACCCAAACCAAACCTTTCAAGCAGTTGAAATCTGCTTTTTGTTTTTTGTTTATTCGCACCTAAGTCTATTAATGTCATAGGAATGAATGTACAAAATTAGCCGTACATAGTGGCGCATGAATCCAGTGCCAGCTACTCAGGCTAAGGCGGAAGGGTCACCTGAGCCCAGGAGGTCAAGGCTGCGGTGAGTGATCGTGCTGTTGCACTCCAGTCTGGGTGACAGAAGGAGACTCTGACTCAAAAGAGAATGACTACACTTGGAGAAAGCAAGACCCAAGCATAAGTTCACCAGGGTGCTTTTGCTGCTAGGTTTTCCGCAGACCTCCTCCTTGCCCCTCTGATCCAAGTTTGCCTTTAGTAACAACACTTACCGGATGCTTCGTTTATTACTTTATTCAGTTCCACTGAGAGCCCAGTTTTGGCTACACACAACCTTGTTATTTTGCCCAGTAGAGCTTTCATTTTTGAAGGGTAAGTTGGTAAAATAACAGCAGAAGATGCCCTCTGGCCGCGTCTTCAGAGCTTCCTCTACCACAGCCACGGGCCATCCTCACGGTCCAGAAGCTGTCCTCTCCAGGTAAAGCGAAACCGAAGGCATGGTGTAGCCCACTACTTGGAGCCAGGGACGGGGTCCCTCGCTCTGGCCTGGGAACGAGGGTTGCTCATCAACACACCAGCACAGCCCCCACGAGAAGAGGTGAGATGCTAGCAATCTGCTGCGTTTCATGGCATTCTCCTGATTTCTCAAAGTAAATTTCTTCCACTTTAGAAAATACAGGAGGTGAGAGGAAGAGTGCACACCTTCCCTCAATGCCTGGGCATGACATGTGGGGGCCTCTCCCTCTATCCTCTCAACCTTCACTGCTTTGCACACTTCAGACTATACACATAAGGAGCTCAGCAGGGCCTTCTCGCTGTAGGAACATCAGCACCATGACTCTTAACAACACAAAGGTATAAGGTGAATCTGTTTGTCACTGTGCCCTACCATCCCCACACCTTTAAGACTTTTTAGCGGAGCTGAGTGCAGTCTCAGCTACTGGAGAGGCTGAAGCAGGAGGATCGCTTGAGGCCAGGATTCTGGGGCCGTAGTGAGCTATGATCACACTGAGAATAACCACTGCACTCCAGCCTGGGTCACATAGCGAGACCCCATCTCTAAAAAAGAAAGTAATCCTTTTAGTGGACTCTGATGACCAAAGGCCTCTGACCAGCGCCTAGGAAGCCTCCTGGTGTCTCCCTGCCAGTGTAACCCAGTGTCGTGTTACCACTGGGGCCACCCCCTGGCCGATTTTGCCATGGTGCCTTTGCATGGGTGTGGCCATAGGCTGAGAGCTGCCTCCTTCCATTTGCCTCATTTGACTCCTTTGCATGAGTGTCATTCCTCCAGACAGGCCTCCCTGATCACCCCGAGCCAGATCCCCTGTTACAGCCACTTCTTCCATGGCACCTGTCAGAACTTTTCATTTCTCCTTGTAAACGTTAAAAGGCCGCCAACTTACTCCACCGGCATCTATCTTCTGTTCTGAGCCCAGAGTTGACTGAACCCATGTTTCTCATGCTGCAATTCCATAAGCAATGCCAGGGTGACCTAAGTGCCTGAGGATCTGCATTTCAAAGCAACAGCAATGTCCTGTTTTGATGCAGACAGGCCTTTCCCCTGGATACAGGGATCCTAGGAGACCTCAAACCCACTTTCCACCCTTCTCACCCCTTTATGTGGCCTCACCCAAATGTCCAAGATGTTTGACCTACCTCTGTGACTGTCCGAGGAAGGGTTCACTGATGCAGGACGTAAGCAAGCACAGGAAGCATAACTAGTACCTGGCCCCAATTGTGTGGCTTCTGTGACCCTAAGCCAACAGCCCCCAACTCCAAATGTCACCCAAGGCTCTAAGCCTGCTGCCCGTCTGCACGAGGGGTGCTCTGGCAGCAGGGTGTCCATGTTGCCAGAGGAAGCCCTCAGGAGGCCAATTGATGTGCTAGACACAAGAATCTGTGTCCTGGCCAGCACGTCAGTGTCGACAAGGTTAAGGCCCATGTCTCCTATTTGAGATCTTTAAGAGGATGCTGTTTAAAAAGCTTTGTGCTTCTGACGGAATATTATGCAGCCATGCAGAACAACAAAATCCTGGCCTTTGCAGCAATGTGGAAGCAGCTGGAGACCATTATTCTCAGTGAATGGTCACAGCAACCCAAAACTGAACACTGCACATTCTCACTCATAAGTGGTCCTGAACACGGGGCACGTGGATACAAAGGCAGGGACAACAGTCGCTGGGCCTTGCTAAGGGGGGGCACATGCCATCCACAGGGCACCGTGTCCAGTGCCAGAGGGGGCGAAGGGCTTGCTAAAGCCAGCCCTCCCCTGCACGTAACCTACTTGGGAAACAAACACTCACATGTATCCCACAGCTCTAAAATATATTTTATGTAAATAAAAAGCTTTGTTTCTTTAAGCGAGTCACTCTTGAAGCCCACTTGACATCATTACATCCTGAGGAAGCTGCCCAGAGCTCCCCTCCTGGACCCCTGCCTCACTTGTGAAGTTGTGATTAACATCGGAAGTCCAGTTAGTTAGTCCTCCCAGCCTCCTGAACTCAGGGCAGCCATGCTGGCTTCTCCTACAGCCAAGGACAGATCTGCCTCCACCTGCCCCATGGGATGCCACCTTCATGGGCAGAAAGCTGCTCTTTAGTGAACTCGCTTCCAGGAGCTGTGCAAGCAGTAAACTTCACAGCTATACACCCTCTCAAGTTTCTCAGGTGGCCACATCCCTACTCAGAGCCAGCCCACTCTATGCCAGCGACTAGTGTTCACTAACATGAGCACACGACCCAGACTGTTGGCACAAGACAGACTCTCCTGAAACTAAAGGTACAAGATGTCATACAATTGGCCAGGTGCAGTGGCTCACACCTGTAAGGGAGGTCAAGGCAGGAGGACGGCTTGAGGCCAGGAGTACAAGACCAGCCTGGGCAACACAGCCAGATCGCTACCAAATTTTTTTTTAATTAGCCAAGTATGGTGGCACATGTCTATAGTCCCAGCTACTCAGGGAGGAACACCTGGGCCCAACAGGTCGAGGCTATGGTGGCTATGATTGTGCCACTGCCTGGGCGA